GTCCAACTCTTTGATACGTATTTCGTAAGGTATGATCACTTTCCTACCCACTAAAAAGCTATAGATTTCAAAGTAAAAAGAAGAAGAAGGGGAAGAAAAAATACTACTAAATACTGAATGACATAAAGAAATGCTAACTTTGTGTATTGATGTCCTCTTGAACGGTATCTAAACACGGTCGTTCGGCAGGGGTGCAGAATGACAAAGCAGTGCCTTTGTTTCTTCCTCTTGCTGTCCTAAGGTACAAATACTAGTAAGGTTAGACGATAACGGCTAAAAAACACAACTACCTTCCAACTCGGTGGATATAATTGTCTGTAGATGTCGGAAAGTCCAGATTGATAACATTGCCCACTTGATGGAAGTCGATTCCGCGCGAAACGCCGGACTCCTTATCTCGACGACCCGACTGAAACATTTTCCTTACTGATTTCTCAAGCTACAGTTTTCCAAGTTCTTACCACTTTTGGTTGGATAGCTTCACTACCGAAAGCATCGGAAGCATCGGAAGCAATGACGATATCACAAGCACCATTATTATACTGATTGATGACATGAAATCGAGAATTGGCAGGCATAGAAGAATTCAAAATGCAGGACTTCAAGCCGAACGCCCGCAAAACTAAGGATGTTCTGGAAATTGACATATTATCGAACATAATATGTGAAATTAAGTTAAGAACAAAAGACAATATAAAGAAAATTCTTCAAAAGAAAATACTAGAAAAACAGAAACATAGAAGGAAACTCACAAATAACAACGATTTGTATCATTTACGAAAATAATAGTCCTCCCAACAATTAAGCGAAGTTTGAACATTGCAACAAGAATTGCAAATCGTTCATTGTCATCCAAACAAGTGATTTGGTACTGAGTGAGTTGATCGACATCAGGCAAATCACCTTCCTTCAAGAAATATGATTTAAAATGTTAAATAAAACATGCAAAGAATTGCAAACCTTCAACTTCAACGTCAATACTGGCCCAACCATAAACAAGCTCTTTAACGCACTCATGTCATCTGTGATAGTAGCAGAGGTAAGAATACACTGATAA